GTTTATTACACTTTATATGTGATCCTTTGTGCCAACTCTATTATCAAGATTTATGTTACTAGTAATAATAATATGTAATGTACAAACTATCTAAACATACCTAGTTAGAGTACTTATAAATATCAAATGGACAAATCATCTAAATTTACATAGTCCACAATATATGCAGTAATAACGAATGTGCAAATTGATGAAAATTACCTAGAAAACACATTAATAATCAATATCTAACTTACAATTCCTCTAAAATAACCTAGATAACAGAGGGCAATTAAGTTCTACACTGACAAAAATGATGATCATAAGGCTCATAATTAACAATGACTAAAAAAAATTACTCCAATTAAACAATGAATTAGATGTTATTAGTAGTAACGATACGCAACTTACAAATAATATAAACATATCTAGTTAAAGTACTTATTAATAACAAACTAACAAACCCATGAAATTTGCTGAGTCTACAGAATATGTAATATTAATAAATGTGCATAATGATTAAATTTACCTAAAAAATCAAAATAATAATAAATATCTAGCTTTTAATTCATCTAAAGTAACTTTGTTAAGTTAGATATTTATGTGTCGTTTGTCAACTAAGTACAAGCACTGATGAAGTGAAATACTTAATTTTTCCATGTATAAATAAGGGTAAAGCCACACAAAAAGCATCGAAGCTGCACCTACCATGGGTATATCAAACAAGCGTGAAGTGTGTGCATGTTAAAAAACTTATCACAGATCCCCTATGAGAACTGAAGCAAAAGAAAGGAGAAGTACAATTCTCCACCAAAGTAAATGACGTGGAAGCATGCCAACTGGTTGAAAACTCCTGAAGAGATGTTGTATGACAGACCAGAACAAGAAGGTACCAGAAAAAAAAAAAAAGTCTCAATTCTCTTCTCATTGATTGTATTCTTCCTCAGAAAAATTGTCACATTGAAAAGAAGAAGAAATCACTGGCTGAACATATGAATCTAGCTCCCTGCGATTTAAGGCTTGTACCTCCCGTGCAGATAAAGTTGAACCCGATTCCTGGGAAGTCGTACCAGTAGCATTTTCGACTGTAACAGGAATTTCCATAGTCGATATATTGATTACAAATTCATACTACAATCTCTTGTAATCAGGTAACAGGAAATAAATGCAATAAAAAATTGTTGGATGCAAACACAGTAAAATAAAACTGTTGAGAAAAAAAAATTGAAATGGCAAAGAAGCACGTTCATAAATATTAAAAGTCAGAAGAAGATCGAGATAGCTTTGTGCCAGGGAAGATAAGACTGTATCGAAAGATTTGACCCTGAATGCATATAGTATTTCTATATATTAGCCCAAGTGATATCCACGTTATGGTTAAGAATACTTTCCTTCTTCTCACAAATCTCAAAATGTTTTATTATATTCTTATTATTATTATTATTATTTATTTCACCTAATCTAACCTTAACTAACACAAAGTTTTTCCTTTACATTTCAGTTACTTTCATAATAATATACATGTAAAACAAGAAAAAAGAACTTACCTGGATTTTTTTTTCTTGCTGTCAACTGTCGATGATACTTAACCCTATTTATCTTTTTAATATTGATGGTAGTACTGCACTAAATAATTTTTTATTCAATAAAATAATGAAACAAAGAACACAAAATAATAACGTGCAAAATACAGACAATGTCCCATAACTATCACTATTTTTTTGACTTTCTAACTATGCGACAAGAACCATTAAAATTTCATCTAAGCTTGTTGAGATGTTTCTCATAGGAATCAAGCTTGAACTGAAAATTGACAATTCTCTTTACAGAGAATAGCGTAATATAATGCGTCATTTGACAGATGACAACCTTGCTTTCTGTTTGTTATAAATACTATAGTATTGAATATCAGAGATAACTATTGGCAATTTCTGAAGGAAAGGATGTGACAGGTAGGTGTGGCAAAAGGGGGTCTGGTTGTCTATTTCACAGCTCTGTAACCAAATAAGATTGAAAGTATGAAACTTTACAAGAAAGATGATATTATAATAAGTAAGTTTCACTAAATTTTGTACTTCTTGGAAGGGTGGTAAATGAATTAGAGTACAGGGGAAATTTTACATTTTTTTTTTATATTTCCTTATAAAAGTAAAACTTCAAACTCATATACTATTAAAATATGTATTATTAGCTACATTTTTATGCTATAATTATTGGTATATCATGAAAAAAATGTAGTTTAACTAAATTTTGGATGTAACTCACTAGAACCTAGTGACATATGCAGAAAAAGATGTGTGGAGAGAAGGTTAATGGAAATATGTATGGAGATAGTACAAAAGCTGTTAAAAAAAAATTGTAAAGTCAGACACATCTTAGGTTTATATAAACTAACACAGCTTATTAGATGTAATAGAATTTGTTCATCATTACAAGATTTTGTGAATAGATAGTTTGGGACAGGAACTGGTGTTTGTGGGTAGAGTAAATTATTTTGTTTATTTATCTTTCATTAATGAAATTGGTTATACTAGTTACTATATCTAAGGTATTTACTTTTAATTTTAAATTGCATTCATTATTAAAGTTTTATTATAAAAATTTATTTACACTGTTAGCTTAGATTTTGTTCTTAACCCTTTCGCAACAAACTCATGAAATTTGCATTCATTATTAAAGTTTTATTATAAAAATTTATTTACACTGTTAGCTTAGATTTTGTTCTTAACCCTTTCGCAACAAACTCATGAAATTTGCAGAAATCGAGTCGCGAATTTCACTTGTCTAACAATATTTTAAGTCTAGGAAACAGAAATACATACCTTTTGATTTTTTAATTTTTTGCAGAATATCTTTAAAGATGTTCCCATTGTTAAATTCATAATTCCAGATCTTTATCACTTATTATTCATCACGATACAAATCAACAAAGCCCTCAAGGCATATTACAGTTTCTTTGGAAGACGCGCTCAACCCTTCGGTAAAATTTTTGTTCAGCGTGTAATATTGTAAGCCTTGAAAATGGACGCAAAGTATGATGTATATTCAAAAAATGTTGAAACCTTTTAATTATGGATTTTAAAATGTAACTAATACATAATTAACTAAAGTTTAATAGTAAGATCTAAGTGCAATTTAAACTGTATCCCTAACTAAAACATATTTAGATAAGAAACAACTGTAAGTGCTATAGTCGATCTAGCAGCCAACAATACTACAGTCAATTACACGTATTCTGTGAAGACAATTGTGTGCTAATTTCAAAATAACTGTTGTTAGATTATAGTGTAAAATGAGCTCTTTCTAATGACTAAACACACATGTATGTAACATATTAATGTAGACTATAAAGCTCAAACACAAATCTCTTGAAGATGGGCATGGCACCTGTCAGGGGTTAAACAAATTTATTACTTGTTTTAACTGTATTCATTCAAAGAACTTTGAAATGTGCATGTCAAAAGGTTATTTAAGCATCTTATTGTCTAGACATACCTCTACTCAACTACCATTGTATTACTGAAGATTCAGAGAGCCAAAGTATAGAATTTTCATAGCTACGTGAGAAAACATTTGAAGTTAAGTAGTTTTTTAAATGCTTATTTTGAAATCAAGGACTTAAAACTTAGATAAAATAAAACTTCGAATCAAACATACTTTATAATATTAATTTTATTCATATACACTGACAGTAAAGGTGTTTAATTTGATTATGAATATAACACAGTGATTTTTGCAGGAAAGTGTTTAAAGTGTACCCATTGCAAGAGGTTAAGACTAACCTAAATCTCCTTAGCTGGCCAAACTTTGTAGTTTTAAGACCACAAATATTGTTAGCAGCAAGGATACCCAAACTGATGAAACAATACATTCTAATCTCAATAAGTTTTTTTTTGTT